TCGATAAACAGAATATAGGGTTTTTCTGCATTTATATGGTTTTTCAAAACATTTGGTACAGTGTAGCCACAAACCATTCTAAACTGCCTATGTCTATCACAAACTGGAGGCATTTGTCCTTCTGTTCGATAAATAAAACATACGGCTTTTTTGGATTAACGATTTTTTCAGAAAATGTATGTTTTGTTCAGTGTAGCCACGAACCATTCTGTTCTTAGCTCAGAGGAGAATTTTATTTTGCCCGTGCAAAAACACAAGATCCATTAATAATAAACATTTATTTTCTGTTGTCTAGACTCCAAGGACGTTACATGGCCCGTCCATATTGAAGTCTACTCATATTGTCTATTCTGAGTATCCATATGTAACCAGAAGTGCGCTTCAAAGATAGAGCATATGAATAGGCCGACATTTGCCGAGTCAACAACAAATTTTAAATATTGTGAACAAAGATCAAAAGTTGTTTGCTTTCTTGCTTTGGCTGACTGGCTGGCATTTGAGAACAATATAGATCAATGCAAGTTAATATTCATGAGTATAAAGCAGGATGAACAACGCACCTGGTTCCACGCACGCAAAATATCACTGCAATGCGCGAAGCCCACTGATCTATACACGTTAGTGTAGAGATCAGTGGTGTAGCCTGGTTCCCAGACCAAAATGATGCTGACTATTGATGTTCAATAACCGACTTGGCGAAAACGTTTTCTATTTGTACACAACATATGAGAGTATTTTGAATCGCTAACGAATTCTATGCGAGCACTCTGATTGGTTCAGATTTCAGCGTGTATTCTAGGCCGCTACAGAAGGTCAGTCTCATTACTTTGAGAGTTTGTGCTTTGTGTTGTGAAACGTTCCAAAATTCATTATAGGGCATACACGATTCAAATAAATCAAGTATATTATCAAAATGTACAATGATACATTCTATTTCTATACACAGTTGACCAAGCTGAGGGATTTGGCCGTTAAAACGTCGCCCGATCTGCAAACATGTCCCGATTTGTTGAGAAAAACTCCCCATGTAACGGAATGAACGAGTCCTCATTTGCATTGCTGTTCGCCATTGGATCTCACCGCATAGATTCACTGCATATGTATTGCGCTGCACGCATATGTGAATATCGTTCTGAGAACGTGCCCGTCAAGTCGTTAGATATGTCGTAACCCCGGCCGATTATGTACTAGTCTAATACCAGCCGCGCCGATGGAGTTCGACTGAAGTTCACAGTCAAAATACGACTATCTTACGACTTGTCATCAAGTCTAGATGAACAACTTTGCAGAGTGGTGGATACTTCGCCCTCTCATTTTTATTATAGACCTGCCTCCGCGGTGTACAAAGCGTGTCATTCCATAAATAATTCATAAACATGTATGGTTGTTTACAATGACAAGAGCCAACGAACGCAGGCATCATTAGTAAAACAAACAGGATTTCCTGCAAACGGTTTAATTAACCCTCCGAGCAGCGAAGCGGTGATAAAATTCTCCACATTTTCCAAACATGGGCATAATTTTTTTTTTCAATGGGCCAATTAGGCCAATTAAGCTTCCATCTAATCCTCACCCCTTCTATACATCACAAGCCTGTAGACTCCCATTGGCCAGACCCTAGCCACTCCGGAGTAAGGAGTGTTGAAAGACAGAAGCTAAGATGGCGGCTCATGCCTTTGTGCAGTAATTGGAGAAAATGGCAGCCAAACCTGTTGTGCCGCCGATCTCTTTGTGTCAGCCCCTCGTGCCGCCCAGAGCCCAGACAGGTTGTAAACGATCCCTGACGATGTGAATGAACTATATCTTGTGCATGTACAGGCATGCGGGGGTTATTGACCTAGAAACACATGTGGTGATAAAATTCTCCACGTGGGTCCACGGTGTGATTTTGTTTTACTAAGTTGCTCCCAGGGTTAAGGGATTAAGGGATGAAGATGACAAGAAGTTTAAGGAAAACATTCACAAATACTTTCATCGTTAACTTTTGAACTGAACTGAGTAATTTTTTTGTGAGATGGTAGATTGCCTTGGGCAACATGTTTGAATTCCGAGCACATTGAAATTCAAACACTTGAACTTTTACTTCCGGGCTTACCAGAAGTGCAGTGACAAATGAATACAACTTGAATACAAAAGCATGCATTTGCACGTTAATTAAAGAAAAGGTTTAAGTCAGATACGCTAAAAACAAAAGGAAGTAATCATGACGTCAACGCTCACATGAAGGGCGCCCTCTATGGAATATCAAGAAGTTGATGGTTTGATTTGACAATCCTTTCACACACAAAATACTGCAGAAATTACCCACCAACTTTCTTTGGACGGTTAGAATGATGACGTCATCAGACCCGGAGGTAATACTAGGGAGAATACTAGGGATTTGTTTTTCTTATATTCAAATCCATCATTCAGTGCCTACCTAATAGTGATGATTGTGGCACGACTGTTGATATCATCAACATCTCTTGATTTAGGCATTCAAATGCTGTGACGTCATCAAACCGGAAATTACAAACGCGCACGATGCACCTTCGTGTGATTCTCATTTTCAAAGGAAATGTTTCCTATCATTGCCTTTGGCCATATGATCATTGAAATTGCATTGTTTTTAATTAAACAGATCTCTAGAAAATAAGCAGGATCTGTGGGTGAGGTGTTATAAAACAAATTCAGACTGCTTTGACCCAAGGTACAGTAAAAGTCGGATCCATGGAGCGTTCTATTTTCCCAAAAAGATGGTTAATTTGACCAAATAGGGAGGCTAGTTTCTAAAATCTACATGTCACTTCGTGGTCGTTCTGTGTGTCTGTCCCCGGAAAAGGGACCAAAATAAAAAAAATACACATTTTATGGCTGTTTTTTCTTTGCACAGACGTAATAAAATTATGTTCTGAATTATCGAAAGAATGGTTCGTGGCTAGACAGTACGGATCATTGATTTTCTGCATAAGCAACATAATATGCTTATTTTCTAAAAAAAAAAAACCCTGCAGTTTGTGGCTTTTTGGTCTTTGCAGGGAATAATTAAAGTTTGCTCTATTAATTTCTGGTCCTATTTTAATAGTTTATAAAATTAGGCAGCTGCTGAATGGCGGAGGGGATTGCAACCGCCCCTCTAAATCTGATAGTGTAGGAGGCTTGTTGGAAATGAGAGGGTGAAATTATTTTCCATTATTTTGTCTTTGATGAAAACAGTTGTTCTCCCTCGTTTCTACTCATAAATATTGATTTGTGATGACATTTTTTTAAAGCCAACCATCCAGTCAAAAAAAGCTACCTAATATGGGAGACGTGATCTATATTTTTTTGGTTCAAATTATGTCGGTAGACTTCAATTTGGAATTTGGCGGGGCCTCTGAGTCCCTGGAGTTTATGTAACATATGCTTATCATCCAAAAATACATGTTTTTATTATGGCTGTCTTGTTTTTGATGGGCATAATAAACGTTTGCTCTGAGCCAACGAAAGAATGGTCCGTGGCTACATTGTACGCAATGTTGAAACTTCTCCGTTTAGGTATGAAAGCAAAACTGGTGAGGTACCATTGCAATCAGTATAATGGCGAAAAAAAAGAGAAGTGTATGGACTAAAATAATTCCTGATTTGATATGAATTTGATATGCTCTTTCAAAATGAAGCTTGGAGCCATGGGCGTCGCCAAGATTTTTCTAGATGGGTCAAAGTGTCTCCCCCCCCCCAAAAAAATCCCTGTACTTTTTAGCATATTCTCAATTGATCATTTTTTCGAGGGTGGGTAGGGGGACATGTACCCACCCCACCCATGAAATTAACAACATTATCAATGTTTCCCCCCCCCCCCCCGCGATGCCCATGCGTGGGCGGTCGTCACCAGGATTTTTGTAGCGGGGCAAAGCAAATTGTTCCCCCAAATCCTTGTACTCTCTCTAACAAATTCTCAGTTTTTGGGTGGGGGGGGGGGGGGGGGGGGGAGACATTTGCCCACCCTACCCCCATTAACACCCATGCAGACGCCCATTTCTTAAATGTGTATTAAATTAATAGCAAATATGACTTCACACCTCGTTTTCTTTCTTTCTTTCTCCCCCCTCCTTTTTTTTGCTTTTCCTGTGGGGGCGGGAGCTCCCCCTTGCCACCCCCTTCCCCTCGCTACGCCCATGTCGAATGCAACATCAATGGAAACTGGAAACCCTGTTGCTCACTTTGAATGAGATTAGTGCTGATGAAGTCGCACAGAAAAATGAAGGATTACGGGGTATATTGCAAAAGTGGCATTTTTGTGTTTGAATGCACATGTACTGTACATGGTATATAAACACATGTGCTGGGTTCAAAACTACATGTAGTGGTGAAAGTTTGCAAATTTATTCTCGCAATAAACCCTGTTCGTACATCTTCGGACGGGGTTCAAGTTTATACCAGTTGTTATAATTCCGTAGATCGTTTGGAAGAAATTCACCTAACTTTGACCTTCCGGTTGACCCGGAAGTACACGACAAAATATGTTCATCAATTAATGGTCTATCTGACTACCAGGTTGGAACATGATTAATTATTTTGTTAAAGAGTCATAAACGAAATAAGATCGTCCTTTTTTCAACGAAAATCGCTTGTAATTTGACACCCGATGACGTCATCATGACGTCAGGGTAATATTCATTACTAGGGATGAGGGTCGAGATATATATTGAAAGTTACAAGTTAATACCATAAACCGCTGAGGAAAAAACCTGCGGAGAAGTATTGTCCAGAACTAACAAAGAAGATTGATGAGAACAATTAACAGACACGTGAAATCACTGAAGGCCTCGAAGCATGTGACCCCTCAAACCCCGTACCTGCACCTTGTCAACGTGTTGCATAATTTTCTGGAGAAACCAATCGGCGGTTATACTGTGATGATGATACTATGTGGATTTTTTTATAATTAGGGTCACTTGGAAATCAGTTTGGAGGTTTGGGATGTGGACCCTGATGGTGGGGATGATGAAATATACACGGGCAAAAAGACCATCTCCCAAAAAGCTGCTAGCTCAGTTTCAAGCGCAGTCTGGACTGACTACTCGATGGGCACAGATACAACGTAGGTATACCGTTTTGCTCCGCATTGGTGGCTGGAAGTCTTTTGAATAATCTGAAAAGTTCGTTCCCCAGTCAATTTGCTGATCAAAACGACATTTCAAAAAACAAATATTGTCAAATTACATAATACAAATGGACGCGGAACGCGCAAACACAAACTAAACTTATATTAAAGGGACACTGCGTCATGGAACAGCCCAATTGGGCTACAAAACGCGCTTTGAACGAAATGATGTTAATCGGAAAGAGCATTAAAAGGTAGGATATACTAACAGCCACACAACCATCCTTTAAAAACTGGGCGTTTTGTGTTTTTTCTTGTGTTATATTCGTGCGAGAACGAATTTCGGGGTCCACTTTTGCGACCCCCGAAAATCGGGCTGTTCACTTTTGTTCAGTGCTAGTTGTAATTTCAGCCGTACAAGTGTTCGCTTTCTGCGGACGAGTTAGAAACTACATGTTTTGGGGGGACAGGCTTCACAATGGAGATCAATGCTCCCTGCTGTGTATTATGATGGGCATGGCTATTGGTAACCAGTGGTGCCCTGTGGTCTGGTTCCATTACAGAAATTGCCTTTTTGAGACATGCCTGTTAAAAAAAAAACCAGCGATCATAAACAAGGTTACAGGTTCTGCATCAGAAGTATTAGCCCTTTGTCACATTTGTCTCCTCTCTCCGAACATGCAGGTTCCAATTCAGTGTAAGAGTGTACTGTGAAAGCGAATACCAGGGTCCGGACTGCGGAATGTGGTGCCCATGCCACGATACGGACAACCAGAATAGCTTCTTTGAAATGTGAGAACACAGTCAGTAATAACAGACCCAGCTAGTGCTAAAATACTATACAATAATAATGTATTTATTTACACATCCCAATGTTCTCTGAGGTACATTAACTCTTTAGTTATAATTATTGTCATTATTGAAACCTATGGTACACATATTTTGCATGTGTTGAAAAAGAGACGTTATGGAGAACCAGATTTGACGTCAGTTACACTTAGTTGACACATCAATTCACCAATGAAAAACAAATACAAACGCACCAAGATATTTGCCAACACATCGTGAATTCAAAAACCTAATACACCAAGAAATGTACGCCAACATTTACAAAATGTCAACTCTCTCTGCCACGCAGGCTGACTTTAATACACGGCCGGCACCTTCCAGCACCATGGCATACATCCTGTTAATACGCCACCAAGGCAAAATACACAAATATTAATACGTCAGAAAGAGACATTATAGTGAACCAGATTTGACGTCAGCTACACTTAATCAACACATCAACTGATACACGTTTTATTAATATTTTTACACAAAATTCAACCTAAGAGTTCATGCAAAAATAGTACAATCATGGGCGTCACCAGGATTTTTTCTAGAGGGGGGCAAAACATATTTTTCCCAAAAAATTCTTGTATTTCTGAACAAATTCTCGATTTCTCAGTTTTAGACGGGGGCAGGGATATTTGCCCCCCCCCCTCACTAAATTTACACCACTATGAGTTCGCGCCTCTTTTTCTTTTCTTTTTTTCTTTTTTTTCCTTCCTTCCTTCCTTTTTTTTTTTTTTTTTTTTTGCTTTCGGGGGGGGGGGGGGGGGGGCAAGCGCCCCCCTTGCCCACCCCCACGTCGTGACACCCATGAGTACAATGTTGCGATGTTATGAAAAAGCTTCGCTTCGGTGGCACACCCGAATGCCATTATGGCTGTCTCCCCACCCACAGACTGGGGGGGGGAGGTGGACACTATGTTCCGAAAAAGGGGAAAAGTACGTTGCTTGGCGAAAACAATCGCTAAAAATCTGAGAGGTGATAAACTTGTTGTTTGTTGCATTTCTTTCTTAAATGCAGTAAGCAGAAAAGGGACATGGAAGAGCTGTGAGGATGTTTGGTGCAGAGAAAGGTCAAGAATCATCTGATGATGTAAGTACCATCTACTGGGTAGCTGGTCGAGTTCAAAAACTGAACTCATTTCATGCCAATGAAGTTTAGCGATGGCAAAAGCGTGATTTATCCCCCTCTAGAACAAAAAAAACATTGGCGACGCGTGACGCCGAATAAATATTATTAATACGGGGAATGGTACCTTAAGGGCATTCCTATGGGGTTGTGCACAAAATGTTTCCGACTTTAATGATCCCTGACCCCCATTTCCCTTATCCTACCCCAACGAATTCAGGTATATTTACGTTTGGAGCCTATTTGCGAGGGCACTTTTTTGCCTCTAAATACGAGTTGGGACATTATAGGGAGACATTGAAATGTCTCCTTAATGTCCGGTGTCTCCCTAAGGTTTAACCTATGACGAAAAATGTCTTCTAAAGGGTACATAGTGAAGATAATTATGATAAGACAAAAAAAAGTCTCCGGTTTCTGGTCTGCGCGTGCGTCGCCGTAGCCATGCGCGTCGGCAATTTTTTTTTTTTTTACAACCAGCGCATCCAAACAGCTCGAATTTATGGGGTCGCAAAAGTGGACCCCGAAATTTGTTCTCGCATGCATAATACAGGAATAACACAAAAGAACGCCCAGTTTTTAAGGGATAGTTGTGTGGATGTTTATATCCTACCTTTAAATGTTATTTCCGATTATCATCATCTCGTTCAAAGCGCGTTTTGTAGCCCAATTGGGCTGTTCCAGGACCTAGTATCCCTTTAAGCTTTATGTGGCCTCTCTGGGCGAGTCAGGGACCATCAAAATTGAAGACAGTGTTGCGATTTGAAATTGTGAGTCTGGAAGCCAGGCTGAGGGAGCGATGGTCATGTTTCTGAAACCTGTAAACGCTTTTTAATCAGCGCAATGGTAAGGGAGCAGACTATTTGACCGGCCTGGAAGCTCGGGCACGATGTCGATGTCGCTGTATGGTCTTCTCTGTATGGTACCGTTTTCTCTGATTTTTGTCTTTACTATCCAAATTTCTAAAAAAAAATGTTTGTGTCGGTCGGAATCATAAGTGGGTGCAGAATTCTCAAGCCTTATGGCCTTGCTCAGGTCACCTCAAGCTCCACTCTGAAAAGATATATTTTTAAGAGAGAGTTTTAAGGGGATCGAAGCGTTATCTGCAACATCAGCCGAAATTTGAAGAAAAACAAAAGTTGGGACAAAAAAAACCAACGCGTTGCTGCACCACTTTTGGGGCAAGCTCCATATCAGAAACCGGAACTTTTTTCTTAACCCTAAAGGGGCCGGGTTATTTTAACCATCTCTCAGCCGGGGGGGGGGGCGGATTCCGCCACCCCCCCTAAGATCTCGGCCATCGAGTGACGAAATTTTTTGAAACTCAGCACATGCATAGAGCAACTCTTCCTAAACATGCCCAAGAAATTTCATGACTATAGGTCAAAGGGTTTTGGAATTATGGCTAATTAATTATTCATATGTATGAATGGCAATTCTGCTCTGTGTACACGACGTATATGTGAAAATTCAGTTTTCACGGCGCGTAGCGCCGGAAAATTTTTCGCTACGTGCCAACCCGTGGTCCGATTTTTATGTTTTTGGTATCAAAAGATGCGCAAAGCTCGAGGCTAAAAAGTCATAACAGCTCGGGTCGCGAAACATTTTTTTTAGAAGCTATCGCGGAAAATGTTGAGGGGGGGGGGGGGCGGCGGATTCCGCCCCCGGCCCCTTTAGGGTTAAGCCTAACACGGCTGATTTTAGATATTGGGTTTATGAAGTTCATTCTTGTAAATGAATATGATTGGTATGTCTGCAGAAGTCTTGGCATCCATTTCAGTTGGCATTATACACTGTACTGGATATTGAACAGAGGCCTTTATACGTAAAGCAGTCTGTATATTCGGACTGATGTAAGCTGATCATTTTTTTTAATATGCAGGAAAAGCTTTGGCCTCATCTCTACCCAGTCAAAGACATGGCAGCGGAGTACATGACATTTAAGACGGGAAAGACTGCTTTTGAAAATTTCAGATTTGTTTCCATTTTTTCGTCTCGATGTTGTTTCTTTATTTGTCTTTTCTTCAAGATGTGCCGTCGGTGCTTTAAAACAATATGAGTTCTGGCGTATTTTTTTTAACTATTTGGTTATATTTTAACGAAAAACAATATCCCCACCTGTTGCCGTCTGCAAGCACTTTTTATCATGACTAGCTTTTGCGCATTCACAGATCCAGCCTGCTAGTATATAGACTTGGCCCCCCATTATTGATTCTGATAAGATTCAAATGTTTGATAAAATTTAAAATTATTTTCAAAAATCAAATTGTATACACTACAGTAATCACCCAAAATTAAACGACGACTGATCTTTGTCTCTGTTGGAAGTTTCATTCAAAAGTGAAAAAAAAAACCACTTTGTTATTGCTTTGAAAATATTTATTGACAGAAATACCTTTTTTCGGGTAAAACTTAGAAAAAGCAAAGAAAGTACATCTTGAATGCATGTGGTTATTTGTAATGTACAATCTCATGTAGGGCGGTTATAATCACACAGTGACCACACACGGTGCTAAAAATAGTAAAGTCACGCTAATTTAGAAGTGACAATCTCCACAGTATATTGAAAAGGAAACTCCTTCAGAGTTACACCTTAAGACTATTAATAAGATGGGATTTTCGCGTCGGGGTGATGTAAATAAAATTAGGTTTTGCCCTTTACCGACGTATAAACACTGTATGCTCAGTGTGTTACCTCCCAAGTGAAAGCTGAAAAACATCACTCGGGTGGGACTCGAACCCACGACCTCCTGCTTTCTAGGGCTTTCTGAGTATACATGATTGTTTATACGTCGGTGAAGGGCAAAACCTAATTTGATTTACACCTATAGACCTTTATCATGCTGCCACCATTTCAGTCATCCCTGTATACAATAACAGTACTGAATGATAATGCTTTTTGTGCAAAAAAGGAACCAGACGATTCTTCTTTCCAGCCTCGCTTTGGCCGCAACATGATCATGGTCTATAGGAGAAACGCCGAGAATCACAGTCAACGTTCATTTCATTTCAGAATACGTTCATTTCATTTCAGAATTGCCACTATGCTCAAATTAATTTTTCTTTTCGCTTAAATGTGTTTCTTTAGTTTCCCTTGAAGGTATTTTTGCACAGATAAGGGTAATTCATGGTATCTGATTTGGTTTTTGTTTGCGAATAAATCTTATTTTAGCTTTGTTTTTTTTTCTCATTTGGGTATTTCTCGGTATTAAAGATCGGCATTTATGCCAATTAATTTGAAACTGTTCTCAGTTGCTCCATTCATAAATTGTCCTCATGATGTTATGAAATTGGATTTTTTAAAATCGTGATTCACAGGGAGTCCCCCCAAAAAACCTCAAAGTGCCCGCTTTTTCACAGCTTAAAAAATTACATATTTGGAGAGTATGTGTTATCAGCTTTTCAAAAAAAAAAAAACTTGTTTAAAGTCACTGATTAAAGTCACCCAGTATAAACTTAGCTGCATCAGGTGAAGAAGTTTCAGCTTGGGAAACCAGGTCATGAATAATGTCAGCAGCTGTCTTGGCATCTGCTGAAGGAGGAATATAAACCACGAATAACACAACCTGGTTTATTTCCCTAGGCAAGTAGTATGGGCGGAGATGAACAGCGAGTAGTTCAATGTTTGGGGTAGGCCTACACATTTGATGCTTGATGGCTAACAAACACACATACATCCCCACCTTTTCTTTTTCCCGAGTCTTTATTTCTGTCCATTCTCAGAAGGGTATACCCGTCCAATTTCACCGTTGAGTCAGGATCCTTCTCAGTTAGCCAGGTTTCTGTCAGGCATATAAGGCTGGAATCTCGGTAATCTGAGAGATAGCGCATGTTGGCTCTCAGTTCATCCGTTGTGTTCCGAATACTTCGAACGTTTACTTGGATAACAGTTGGGAGTGGGGTTCTAAACCTTGATTTTTTCAACCTGTTTCTGACACCTCCTTTCCTCCCACGTTTTTTCGTTCTGGGTGCGTCCTGGCATATTTCTGCAGGTATTACGTAATCTGGTGCTGTCGAAAACGTACGTCGACTCAATAGAAACTCACGGCTATACGATAGCACTGGTAGAGTCTCACCTTCACTGTCCTGGATGGCGCACACAATTCTCTTGGCACTCCATGATAGCGTTAGTAAAACAACTAAAATCACAAACATCGGTGAGCACAGTACATTGGACATCGTGAGGCATTAATTAGTGCAAAACGTACACACTAAAAAGGTTTAAAAACTCGATAAAAATACAGTGACACAGAGAAAAGAAAAAGGCCGTGTCGCCTTTGAAAAAGCAATGAAAAAGAATTCACATCCGGTAAGATGTGTATGCATTTGGCAAACTTTTCGGATAGTATTTGCGCGCATTGGCTAACTGCGGTCTACAGCTGCAGCCAGATGCTTTATACATAGGTCATGATAAATTACCCAGAATGCCATCCCCACTTCCTTCACAAGATTCTGTGAAGCTCATCTGCCCTTCCCAGCGCCCTGTTTGCAGGGCAGGGGGTACGAGCGAAGTGCGTGCAGTGGCTCGGGCCCGGCTCATGGAGGCGCGCGTTTTATTGATCGCACGAGAACAGTCCAGGTGGTGGACTAACTAGTGTACACATGGTGATGCGTTTAACTTCAGTGTTCAACTATAGATCGGAGCCATCAAGATGTTCTTCAATATTAAGCTTAGCATGAGATAAAACCAAATGCATGGGAAAAAAAGTCTGCAAGAGGAATAACCAAGAGACATAACCACATGGCATGATTACCCCATCTATATACGTTTAATACATCTTTACTTATAGTCCACTCTACCCCAACACCAAACATAACGAGATAGGTCTAGGCCTATTCCAGCGGCAAAACAAACGAAACTATTTTCAAAATTTACATTCAAAATAAATGCAGAAGTGCAAAATAAGCTAAGGTTTGGTGGTAACTGAGTATTCTCGTGTACGCTTTGTAATTCTTTTATAACAACAGATCGGTTAGGTCCGCTTTCTACTTGGTTAAACCATTGCTATGACGTCACACTATTGTTAAAAGTGTGGATTCGGAACTACGAATCTTAAGAAAAGTGTGGATTCGGAATCCACATTTTTGAACACGTCGGACAATAATTGTTCTCCATGATGATCCTGAATAGGACCGTCTGCGTGAAAATTTGCTTTCCGAAAATTACTAATGCCTCTTCACTGTCACATTCGCTGCCGTCACTGCAAAAACTACTTTAGTTAGAAAAAAAATCGTCGTCTGAACTATCCATTTTGTCGTAAGGAGCCTATACACACAAAATGGCTTGGTTGTACGGGTGTGGCGATACGCATTGCTAAACACGCCAGGGACAAATGTTGCAACCTGACGCCACTTCCGCGCTTGTGTACGAAGTCTATGGAGAGTCATTTCAAGTATTTGAAACATTTCTCAGTCCCAGATTCATGTCTTATCATTATTTTTGCAACGAATGACCTTCATTGAGACGATATATGAAGAAAACAGTGGCGTCAGGTTGCAACATTCTTTCCACAATACTTCTATTGACGCAATGGTTTAAGTCGAAGAATACACTCGCAAGTGTGGATTCTTAATTAACGAATTCACTCGGCGCTTCGCGCCTCGTGAATTCTTAAATTACGAATCCACACTTTCTCGTGTATTCTCCTTAACCTATTATAGGTCTAGCGGTTAGCTGTACATATAATTAGGGGCCTGTTGCTCCGACCATGCCTGTATATATCACAAGAGGGCATTATTTTCCTCTTTGAAACGAAAATCGTTTTATGTATACAGTGTCTAAATTGAAATCAATCTACTCCAGATGCTGACAAAAAATACTTTACCAGTTTTGCTGGTAATCCTGCAATTTCATAGTCAAGTAATAATTATTATCTGTCACCAAGAATACTAACGTATCAGTTTGTTTTTAAATGCGTACTTTTTAGCAAGTCTGTTTTTCCCCTAAACAACCCGATATACTTCGATAATTACTCTGTGTAAGCAAATATAAAAACTTGAGATAACGCGGAAATGCCGCAGAAATTAACGAATATATGCACTTGCATAACTGTGTATCAATATCATGTTAATATTTGTGTAAATATACACTGATACCCGGCCAATTTCCTAAAATGTTCATGCACTTCTGAAAATTGGTCATTCGTTTTCGTCTGAATTTGAATGCACGTCTTTAATCCCAATTCAATTCAACGAAAGTTCAATCGTTTTCATTGTCCGTGCATTCGGGTTTGAGAAACACGGTCAATTACGTTGCCTGTGCATTCATTTACGCAAGCATACCTTTTTGCGCAGAGTTCTGGCATACAATTTCGTGAATGTGCAATCAAAAGTACGTTTTTTGCCATTGAAAATAGAAGATTGCGTCACATAACATTAAAATAAAAGTGAAATAGAATCACCAATGTTTGAAATCGCCCTCTAAAAGCGAAAAAGAAGTCTTGTAAACAAATCTGAATGAGCATAAACGAAAGGTGCTGCTTATTGAACTGTAGAGGAATCGAATGCTCTGGTAGCGAAAATGAATGAACATTTTAGGAAATTGGCTGGGAAAACTTATACATTTTTTTGTTACGAGCAAGCAATTAAAGCAAAATTGGTAAAACAATTCTTGTCAAGTACTCAGAAAATAATCTATCTATAGTAATACAATAACAATAATAATGCAATATATTAAAGGCAATTTTGGTGTGTAAAACAACCAAAATGCGCTTCACAATAATTAAAACTGGGTATATTCAACTAGTGTTGATTCAAAATGCATTAAACTCACCAGATACATTAAATCACCGGATACATGAAAATTAAAAATTAAAATCTACAATACATCAAAAGACATCATAAAAAAATGATGTTAAATTCAACTCATTAACATGTTTACAATAACATTCATTACAAATCAAAAGCAGTTTGATAGAGATGCGTTTTCAGCAGCGTCTTAAAATGGTTTAAGCTGGTGGCATTTCTCACACTGGTAGCTTGTTCCACAGGGAAGTTGTAGCGTATTAAAAGACCTGATAACCTAGTGCAAGAAGAATGCAGGTGTTCTGATTAAAACTACGAAAACCTCCGAAGAACTACGAAGACAGAGGTCGAACGGTAAAAAGCTGTGGCAAATAAAATTAGCCATGTAAATC